ACATCTCAATTGAGTTTTGTTTACAATTACATGTTCTTTAAGGTATTCCATGTATTTAATTATATATTGCATTGCTTGTGACAATAGTGGGTTCTTAATAGAGTCAGAATGTTATTTCAAAACAATTTCATCCATCTGAATACTAACCCTTTTGTTTCCACAAATAATATGCCCAGCTTTATAAGAAAAAAAAACAAAAAATAACTCACTCTTCTCCAGTCTTTTGAACAGGAGTAGAGGTTTATCCCTTGTTTCCGGTTTAAGATTGGGTTTCCAGTTCCTTCTAAAGTCTATACTTCTAACGTCTCCATCTGAACTCTGAAATTTTATTTACTAATTACTTTTTTTTTCTCCTCAGTGGTACTATTAGTCATTTCCCTACAATGAAACATTTGGCATTCATTAACCAAGCAGCTAGTACTGTTTGTGGTTGAAATTTATAAAATCTTACCCTTAAAATAATTAAGAAAATAAGTTTCTCAATTCCAGTTGCTGTTATAGTTCTTTCCAGTATTGATGGAATCTTCTATGTGACATGGTGTGGAATGTTAGCATCTTGATAATGTCATTATTTTCTCTTAGTGTCTGTCATATAGGAAGTGTCGCTGCCGACACTTGGGTTTGAACATGGATCGCCAGAGAGCAAGCACAGTCGACCTCATCTTGAAATAATTACATCATGTGACGGGTAAAGGACAAATATATATGGGAATTAAGGCATCTGACAGAGTATTGTTTGTAGGCGTTACGCTTATTGTATCTGTGATTTACAAAGTCTCTCCTACAAACGAGCATTACAAAAGAGTTACAGTGCTATCCATTTTAGTTGTTACTGCTGTTGGTAGTCCACAAGTGATGTGGTTTCTCTTATTCAGTATAGTACTTTCTTTGTGAAATTATACATATCTTTTAAATAAATAAACAGCAAATTCTGCCTGTCCATCCTCTACATAAACATGTTATACCTTTTTAGAATCAGGATGATCCTGGGATTGATAATCTGTCCTTCATCTGGTGCTGGAATATCCAGCATTGTAATTTGTTTCAAATTTTAAAATAACTGAAAAAAATTAATGATTTTAACAGTTTTTAATTTATATTGAGTTTAAAGTAAAACAAAAACTTTGTGAATTTAAAAAAAATTTGTTTTAAAATATATCCAAAATTTTATGAAGTGAAGAAATCAATTTCATTCACAATGCTAAGGAATCAGAATTGACGTAAGGTTTTGAAGTTCTTCAGAGCTTGTGATTTGAAGAACTCAACTCAATTGAAGTTCTTCAGAGTTTGTGATTTGAAAAAGGTGAATGCCGTTAGAAGAAGAACTTGTAATAAAATTGCTTTCCCAAAAAACAATTACATTGTCACACAGTATTCACTACCTTATAAAAGGATTTATATTACATAGTAGTTCATCACTCTTTATTTTCTTTCTAATGAAATTATCTTGTTTCTTAGTCCTTTGTTTAGCTTTTGAAAGGCATTTTTTGCTATTCTAACACATCTTTTGATTTTGTGCCACATTTTTTATCCTGTTAAAATACATCCTAAATATTTAAGCTTAATAAACAAGGCCCAGTGGATAAAAAGTGTTGGCTGATGATCCAAAAGTGACTTGAACCAAAGAGTTGTGATTTCAATCCCTGTGCACAGCAAATGGAGAACAAAAAACTTAGAGAGTTGAGTTATGAAAGGGAATTAGCTAAAACTGAAATATCCAAAGGTATGGCACATGCAAATAGAACAATCTAGCCCCATGGACTAAATAAAGGAATCAGTTCAAAATTCCAACAAATATCACCTGAAGAAGGCTGAAGCATACAATGGCTGAAATGTCATGGCTATGGCAAGAAACAACAGTCTGAACAATGTAAATAGTTACAATACCTCATCTCAGAAATGTAGACGAATCCTGAAGAAAGCCAGAGTGTACAACGGCCAAAATGTCATGAATGTGGCAATAAAGATGAGGGCCACAACCCAAAGAATGTATATAATATAAATAGTTACAATACCTAATCTCAGAAATATAGACAGATGTTAATAAACAAATGTAAAACTTTTTTTTGAGAGGGAAGGGCTTATATATTATAGAAAGTTTAATGCTTACAGTTTCTTGGTGTGCACAGCTTATACTACAAACATTAACAATTTTTTTTTTATATCTTGGTTGGGTGACTAGTTTTAAAGAAACAATTAAAAAGTAGGTTTGACTATCGTCCAGTTCACACTCATCTCCAGCCTTTTAAACAGGAATAGAGGTTCATCCCTTGTTTCCTGTTAAGAAATTGGGTTTCTGATTCCCTCTAAAGTTTTTTCATTCTCTTTTACTCCCAGTAGCTGTTTGTGTCTTAGTGGCATTATTGCCTTGCTCAGAGTGAATTGATTAAAAAAAATTAAAATAGATATGGAGGAAACATTCCTCTATCTCTCCCAAGAAGTCATGGTAATATGGAGATATTACAAAAATGAAGCCATGGAGAATCCTGATCACTTATGTCTTGAAGAGTGATTTTTAAAAAAAGATATTTTTCAAATACATTCACCAGCATAAATAATAGGAATTAGTTTTTCATTGTCTAATCATACAGCTATATTGAACAGCAATTCTAAAACAAACTTTCATGAACGCATTTACTAATTGATATTAATCAAAATTATTTTCTTTCAGTATTGATTTTATAAAAAAAAAAAAAAAGCAGAAATAAAAAAATAGTTTTAGCTCTTTATATCCATTTATCTCTCAACTCAAATTTCGTAGAACAGAATCGTAATATTCTTTCTACTGTTAATGTTTTTGTATTTAAAGCTTTGTCAATTACCGTAATTAATATTTATGGGGAAAGAAACATGACAAAGTGGAAAAAGTTTCCGCGTGACATGTTTCATCCTTTAAGACTTCATCAGAATAAGTTTACATTTATATTGATGCAACCACACGAGTGAAAGACAGATACTGAGAATTTTAGACTAAAAATTTTTTTTTTTCTTTTTATATGTCTTTTGGGAGATATAATCCACTGAATTTCATTTTGATTCTTTTTCTTTATGTTTCCATCACTTTTGTTATTAAATGTCACACACTGTGATAACAGAAGATCTGCCAAGAATGGTGAAATGTTCTAAGAACTCAAACGCAATTTTACTGTGGATGATCTAGCAATTAAAGCACTTTCTATACATTTTAGTCTTAGTAAAAAATTTTTTTCTCTTTTAATTAGCATAGCATTTTTTAAATCAAAAATTTAGGTCATTCTCGTTAAGGTGGGCAACTAATTCATTTAATGTGTTGTTTTGTAATTAATATCTGTAATAGATCCATACATCTCAAATGCAATAGGGGTCAAAGGGGCACAAAACTACATTTTTGTGATAACTTTATAATCAAAATAAATAACAAGTTAACATCTATGGCCCACATGTTCCTATTGCTCAGACTACAAGTGTAACTGCAACATCCTCATGTTGCAACAGGTCACAAACGCATGTGAGTTATTTACATTATTTACACTATTATCTTCATCTTTGTCATTATCACAAAGTTTCAACCAGCTTTTCCTCCAGCCATCATCAGGTGTATGTCAGGGGTAGAGTGTTCTTAGTTCACAGGGGTATCTCATCTTATTATTTGGTCCTGCTCAGTGATTGCTTACCCTGTTGCCAGTGGGTCTATGTTTGTACTGCCTTTGTCAGGACTTCAATATTTTATAATGTGCAGATTTCTTTAACATTTACGTCAATAGTAATTCCTGCTATATTTGCCCACAACATCAGAAACAAGCATTGATGGAATGACAGTTATCCCTGACAATAACCCATAATTTTTGTTGTTAAAGATAGCAGTACAATGGCAGTTTGGCAAAATAGCATCTGACATGAAAGTGCACACAAAACACTTAACTCCTACCATATGGAAAAAAAAAAAATTTTTTTAATTATTCAGTAATCTTCCAACTGCACTGCAGGTAGCGTAATGATTATCAGTAAAGAAAACAGAATTGACAAAAAAAAAAAAAAAAAAAAAAAATTGTGCCCATTGTCATTTGACACTTTCTGAGTTTATGGAAACCAAACAATGGATGTGAGGACAGTCAGGCATGCTAAAAATTTGCTCTGTCCAAAAGTAATATTGAGCTTCACTATGCCTGATCTATTCTTAGTGTAGACTTTGAAGATGCACTTCTAGTAACAGACATCATAATATAAGTCTCTATCAAGGCTGCACTTATTTATTTTCAGCACCAGATCCCTTTTAAATAAAGAGTAATAATTTCCCTTATCTCTTTACTTGTATCTGTCTAGGTTTCTGAGATGAGGTATTATGTACACTATTTACATTATTCAGACTATTGCTGTCATCTTTATTGCCATAGTTATCACAATGTTTCAGCCTTTGTATGCTCCAGCCTTCTTCAGGTGGTTGGAATGTCTAACTGAACCCTTTATTTCTCTCGCTGGGGTAGACTGTTCTAGTTCCACGTGCCATATCTAATGGATGTCAGTTATCAGTTATCTTCTGTTAATTCACCTCTTCAAGTTTTCTACTGCCTTAACCAGGTATTGAATTCACAACTCTTTGGGTCCAGTCACTGGATAAACTAATGCCTTTATCCACTGTGCCATGTGTCCTTAAGGCCAGTAGACATGGCACGTGGAACTAGAACAGTCTACTCCAGTGGGCGAAATAAAGGGTTCAGTTCAACATTCCAACCACCTAAAGAAGGCCGGTGTGTACAACAGCCGAAACATTGTGGTAAATATGGCAACAAAGATGATGACAACAGTCCGAATAATGTAAATAGTGCTCTTTACTTTTGTTTTACAACATTCTCAAGTTGATTGCAACATTCTCAAGCACTTGCAAAACAAATTTTGAAAAAGTAAATAAAATGATTTTTGTTCATATTTTGGGAAGTGGGTCGGGTAAAGAATTTCTTAACACCCACACATAACGTCAAGATTTTTCAGCACCCAATACTGGAGATTTCTCCATCATCACTATGAAGATACCTGAATTTCTCTGCCTCCCAACCACCACCACAAAGATTTCTCTTCCCCCTACCAACATTTCTCTTCCCCCTACCAACATACCAAGATTTCTCTTTTATTCCCCACCCCCACTGGGATATTTCAGTATTCTTCATACAGAATAGCTATTTTTTTTTTTGGAACCACCATGCACATCAGAATTTTCAGTAAACAACAACAGAATTTTTCAGCATCCCACAACATCTTTGGATAATAACAATCATCACTGGAATGTACATCTACTTCATTTAAATTCCCTGTTTTCTTGGAGTTTAGTCTTGGATTTTTCCAAATCAATAAGCTAAACTTTACTTAGCAGTAAATTTTAATCTATCTTCAGTTTCCCTTTCAAGCATATATAGGTCACAAAGAGATGCCAATAAAAAAATTTATTTCCCTTTTTTAAAAAAAAAAAAAAAAATGTTTTGCTAAAAACAAAGGGAAATACATACAAGGGACTATTGTTGATACAGTATCAATTTCAGATAATCCTGTTTTGCATTTTAAAATTCCATCAATCTGGACAAAGATCCATAAACAAAACAAAACAAAAAAAAATTGTTATTCTTCAGTTTTATTTACAGTTCAAACTTCCCTCTCACTACAAACAGTTTCATCTTTTATTGTATATTATAAAACTCATGCGTAAAACTCAGCTATTTTTTTTAATTATTCAATAGTCTTCCAACTGTACTTCAGGTAGTGTAATGATTATCAGTAAAGAAAACAGAATCGACAAACTTAGAAAAAGCACAAATCTATCTTTTCTCCCCCATCAATAGCAAAGTATGGTGGGTCTCACTAGATAGTGACAGTCAGTTTAGAAGCACTAGCCTGAATTAACCTTTACACCACAGGCAACAATAGTCACCATAGAATTCTCTCTAATAATAGAATAGACAAGAAAATATGACATGGTTAATCTAATATTTATATAGTTTCATTGAACATAAATTGGGGGATTTATTTTCTGTTGTTATTTAGTTATAAACGTATCCCCATTATTAGTTCATTTTAATATAATATGAAAAAAATATATTTACTCACATATGAAAGCCTAATAACAGAAAGAACTTAATAAAATATGCTGTCATTTTTTTTTATGGCAAAAATAAATAGTTACATATAATGGCAGTCGTGTTTTAAAATTTACTCTAGTGGCCATTAATGAAATATACAAGTCTTCTGTCTAACATGTTCTTGACAGGCTTATGACCATATCACATTAAAGCATCGGTTCTTGTAGAGTCACCGAAGTTAAGCAATGTTGAACCTGGTCAGCACTTAGATGGGCAAATACCAGGTACTGTAAATGTGGATGTGCTGGTTGTGTAATGGATAATGGCTTGGAATTGGAAATCAGAGATCAGTTTTAATTCCTGTTCAGTTCGGTTCATTATGTTCACTTATACACAAATACCCCTGGGAAAGATATGAATCCACCTCTTCTCCCTCCAGCTACGGGTTAAATAGCAGGACTGTCAGCACTAAATCATTATTATCTTCAAAAAATTCTTACAAACCCAAAATATTTTCTGGCTTTAAATAACCTGCAAAAGGTTGATATACTGTAAAAACAAAGCAATTTAGTGACCATTAATTAAATATACAATTCATCCATCTAAATGTAAGTTCTTTATAGGCTTATGCCCACATCACATTAAAACACCTGTTCTCGTATAATCACCAAAGTTACACATCATCTAGCTTAGTCAGTACCTAGAGGGATAACTGCTTGGAAATACCAAGTGCTTTAAGTTTGGATGTGCGAATTGCAGTGAGAATTGTTATATTCATTCATACACAAATACCCTTGGGAAAGGTATGAATCCACCTCTTCTCCCTCCAACTATGGGTTAAATAGCAGAACTGTCATCACTAAAATTATTATCTTCAAAAAATTCTTACAACCCCAAAATATTTTCTGGCTTTAAATAACCTGCAAAAGGTTGATAAACTGTAAAATTAAAGCAATCCATCAATCTAGTGACCATTAATTAACTTTTACCATACTGCAGGCGAAAATAGTCACCATAGAATTCTCTACTATCGGTGACTTCTGTCGCCTGAGATGGTTGCTATCAATAAACACTTGTCAACTGTTATTTCTGGTATTTTAAAGCAGGAAATTGCCTATTACTGTTTTGGAACAATGCTAAACTTCCATTATCCAATGCCATTTTGAATTCTTCTAGACTACACAAAATGTAACAACGATTAAACTCACGTTAATTTTTTCGCAATATTTTGTAAACAAAATGGCCACAAAGCCTTTATTCAGGAGTTTTTCTTTGATTAACACTGATGATGATTTTGAAGGCTTTACTCAAGTGAATATTGACAGTGAAGTGTTCAAAGATGATAACCACAGTGAAGTGGAGGAAAGCAATGATGATCACTAGCAGCTACTATCATCCATGCCTGGGTAATTTTACAGGAGCCACTGGCAACCATCGGTATATCTGATGGTCTTTCTGAAGGTGAATTATTTTGCCTATTTATAAACAACGAAATAAATTTATTGGTCAATGAGAACAATAAATAAGAGTCAGGGCAAATAAATATTAGTGTCTTCTCATATGTAAACACAAAGAAACAAGTCACGTTTTTGATGAAATGAAAGCTTTCTTAGTGATTTTGCTTCTTATTGCACCCCCAGAACTCCACAAGGAATAATAAAAGTTAAAGTGCGTTGAATTATTTATGTATTTTTTAATGTATTTGTTTTTTATCTTGAGTTTCATTTATTTTTTAGTTTTTAACGTCAAAACATGCAGACAAAATGTACTGCATTACATCAAAATACTACTCATTCTTTTATTAGTGTACAAAAATTAAAATCTATATGCACAATACAAAGAAAGATATAACAATTTTAAAACAGTAGGTGTTCATGTTTTTGCACCCTCAAAAAAAAAAAAAATTTGCAGTGGCAAAAGGAACAGTTCTAAAAAGAAATTAGTGTGGTAAAGGTTAAAAATTGTGGAGACAGAACAGGAACCCACTGAAGAAAAAACAAGGTAATGAACAATTTATAGATTATAAATAAAATTAATCCATGGAGGGCTATGATCATCTACATCTTGAAGGAGCATGGCTTTAAAGACTAAAGAAAAATAAATCAGGTAAAGAAATATACCTAAGAAAGCTATCTATATCTTCAGTGCCACAGATATATACAGACCAACAATAAAAAACTAGAGAAAGTCAGTTGTTGTCAATACAATGTGCAGAGGGCAACAAGACAAAGAGCAAATTTTAAAAAGTGGTTGTTTGGAAGAAAATGTTCAATTTTAGAATCAGCTTATATTCCTGAATTAATATATTTAAACAGTGTTTAAATCAGTCAAAATAGGAACGCTGAACATCTGTATATTTCTGCCATCGAGTTACAAGGTTGTTTATATGTTCATGATAAAACTCTAAAGGTTTTGGCACAAAGAAGTCTTTGAATGCAGTTTCTGCACTTTCATTGCAATGGAATGTCTTTGGGCTTAAAAGAAAATTAACAAGATGCTTGAAAAAGTCATAGTCAGTGGGCAAGAGGTCAGAGGAATAAGGTGGATGTGGTAAAATCTTGTATCTCAAGACACTTCTGCAGTGTCATCCTGGCAACATGTGGTCGGGCATGTCTATGAAGCAGAATTGGACCTCATCAAGTAACATTTTGATAACATTGTGCTTAACTGCATATGCCCTGCGTCCAGTTACTAGCACTAAGCTTCAGCAGTGATGCTCTGCTTAAATTCCAGAAAACAGTAATGAATAACGCCAGTGACAGATCACCAGATCCGCACCATAATTTTCTGTTGGTGGAATTTGAGTTTTGGAAAGTGTTTGGGTCTTTCATTATGTTGAAGTCATTGAGTCGATCATTTACGATTATCATGAAGGATCCACTTCTCATCACAAGTCACTATTTGATCAAGAAATGGATCATTCTAATTTTGCAGATGCAACATTGAAAACACATTCAAAATATTGAACACTGACTTTCATGGAATCTATTTATAGAGTTTCTTCACCTAGCCAATTTTCTTGAGATGGTCCAATATTGTTGAAATGCTGATACCCATTATCTGGGACACATCTCTGACACTTTGACATGGGTTTTATTTGACTAATGCTTTCAGATCTTGATTGTCACTTGCAGATGGATGTCATCTAACATCTTGATCTGCAAGACTTGTATTCCTACTGAGAAAATTTAGAAACCAGCATTGCACAGTTCAATCACAAATGGATCCTTCATCCCATGCTCTGTTTATGTTAACAGCAATTTTGAGAAGCATTATGATAATGCTTGAACTAATTCCAAAAAAATAAACATATATCTTTTCCAATGTTTAAGATGAGGGGTTGATAAGGTTTGAAGCAGAATTTTGAAGGCGAGTGAAATAATATTAACAAAGATGATACTTTAATCAATGGGAATGAGTAATGTATTTTTCTGCAAATATTATAAGAATATATTTTACACACTTTAAATTTTTATTCTAAAATTGGACATTATTTTCCAAACATGCTAATACTATTTTCCAGTGTATAGACATGCTGCATCAAGTATTTGAGAACAAAATTCTGAAAGTGACTGATATAAAATTAACAAAGAGGACACATTAATCATTAGATATAATAATATTAGAACACAATTAAAATGTTTATTCAAAAATCGAACATTATTTCACTGAGTTTATACGGAATTATTTTTCAAACAAGCTAATACTATTTTCCAGTGGACACTTAGCAGAGTGGTTAGAATGTTCGCTTTCTGACCATAAATCCTGGGTTCAAATCTCACCATGGTCGATTTGTCAGGAAAGTGACTTCTTGTTGTTATTGGTCTGGAGGTGATCCGAGCATGCAAGACATTTGGAAAGTGCCTGAAAACCATACCACGGGCCATCATGACCGAGGATTTGAGCATGCTGGCCTTGTTCAGACTGTTGATCATGCTAGATAATGTGCACTCCCCCAGAAACTGTAACTAAGGTCTGATCAGCATAGCTGCAATATAAATCACAGGTGGGCTCTGTGGATTTTGAACAAACAAAAATGTGCCTGAGCAAAAGTCTGCAATGGGGATTAGCTGGGTGCCCTAGTCG